ACCAAACTTTTGATAATTTTTTTACAAGTTATATCTGGGAATTATTCAAAAGTTATAAAATGAAATACAATGTTGTAAACTATTTTTTGGATTCACCCGCCTTAAAAATCGGATATGGATATCCGACTTCAATGGATTTATCAGATTTAGGATCGGAACAATTAATGATTCTTTTACAATGTGAAACGTTAATAATATTTAACTATTGAGAATGTAATCAATAAAATGATTACAAAAATCAATTTTTGTATCAACAACTTGTACATGATAAATTCCAGATTCGATTGAAATTATTGACTTTTTATACTAAGTAATAAGTACAAGATAAGTTATTTAGATTTCTTTAAAAATTTTATAATTTCTACTCAAATGCTAGTATCTGAACCCCAACCATCCATCATGACATCATCACACATAGTACTCAGGTATTAGTTTTATTTCAAAAAGTTCGTAATTCAATATAAAAAAAGAATAAATACAAAAAATGTAATAAATTTTTATATCCGTACTAATTTATAAGCGCTAAGAATAAAAGTTCTATAGTATATACTGATAAGATTCATAGACCTAGTATAAGCTTAATATTAAATTGTACTCTGTCATAACGTATTTAAATTTTGTGTTTATAAAAACTTGGGGAAAAATTAGTAGTTTTTCTTGTTATCACTGATCATAAAAAGAGATCTTAAATTATGCCATGGTTTAAAAAAGATCGTCTATGGCTTTTTATTAATATTTTATGGATAATGTTTTATTTAGAAGAACAGATAAATCGTATATAATAGTCCACATTACATAAACTAAGTTCCATGTGATATCGTTTACTTAAGTTATGTTAAAAAAATAAATAAATAAAATAAAAATGCCTTAAAATAACGAAAATCGACAACTGTAAATGAGATTTATCTTGTAATTTGAAATACTTCATATTCTTCCACAGAAAATAAATCAGAAAATAAATCAGTAGTTCCACTGATTTGTTTTTCGTAAGCAAAATTACCACATTTACCAAAAACTCCATCTAAAACAAGGTCACTGATACCAAATGATGGTCCACGATCAAAGGAGTTAAGTGTAGCGACTTTTTCATTTATTATACGACTTAAAATATAATTTTTAATATCATTACATCTCTTAAACGAGAATATAAAACTGTCCTTAGTAGTGCCATAAGAATCATCAGACTTCCATTCAATTGGATTATATCCACCAAGAATTTCCTTACTGACCTTCACCTTAATAATTGTTACAGTACGAGATTGATTATCACAAATTTCATGAAATTTTTTATATGTAAATCCATCACGAGATCCACGAAGTAATAATTTGAATTTGTACGTATTTTTTATCTCATCTGTAATTTCAGTTCTATCGATCCATTTTGAGATTAATTCAGCATGTTGAATTGTAATAATTTTGAAATCAATGGAATCAATATTAATTTCTTCAGTAGTAATACGAGGTTTTGATGTTTTACTTGATTGGATACTGGGTTTCAAGAAATATTTTAATAAATCTTCATATAATTCTTTTGATATAATTTTTTTATAAGGCAACACTTCATCTGCAAATTCTTCAGAAGTTAAATTATAGAATCTAATATGTGGAACGCAATGTTGTAAACTATTTTTCAAAGCATTAAAATCTTCTTTTGAAAAATTCGTAGGATCGGAAGGAAGTTTTTGATTTTGAGCAAGTCCCTATCTAAGCACATCTTTCCATACTTGAATTTCATTCATTTGAAGATTATCACTTTGAATAAGTGAAACCAAAAGTTTTTCTGAAATTAAGGAAAAATTTAGAGATTTAAATATCTTGTTTGGCTCTTTGGTTATTAAATTATTACAAAATTCTTGAAGTTCCAATAAAGAATTGTTCTCAAAACTTGTCTTATATATCAAATCAAAATTTTTTTCCATCCAATTTGCCTTAGTTTCAATCAAAAAGGATTGTAAATAAGTGGTTAATTCTTGGAGACCAAGTTCACTACCAGCAACTAAAGATAATCTAGTTTATCGGTTTATTTATGGAATTATAAAGACTCGTTTCATCGCGGTCATCAAAAATTTAGATGAGTGGAATTAGGATATTGATGAATCCATTCATAATAATATTAAAAAAGATCATTTTCTTTCATTTTCTGAAGTTAAAAATTATTAAAACTATCATCAATTTGCTCAACTCTACTTGATATTTTTTTTACAAAAGATGTACTTTGTATTGTAAATGGTAATTTAATTCCTTTGATATCAATGTTCTCTACTTTAAAGGAATCTGAAATCATTACTTTTATTTAAATGAATAAACAAGCAATTGAAAATATTAAAGGTAATGAAATAAATTAAATAAATAATTTTAATTTTTTTTTTTTTTTTTGTAAAATCTGTAACAAAATAGTTTCGTTCAATTACTATATATAGTATCTTGCCAATTTACAAATTACAATTGACAAATCCCCAAACATTCCATTATTTTACACAATATAATGATTAAGTACTTTATTTTATAATGATAACTAGGTGTAACCCGTCGCGCTGCGCCGGGGATAAAACTTCTTAGTATTTTGATAATAAATATTTACAATATGGTAAGGTTAGATAGACTAATAAATTTATATAATTTATATAATTTACATATTTAATTCTATTTCATCATTTTTAGGTCCTTTAGTTCTTCCAGTAAGGTTCAGTTGTTTTTCACTTTACATTTCTCATTTTTTTATTTTTTATTTTGTTTCTGTTTCATATTTCGTTTTTCACTAATTTATTTTATTTTTTTTCAGATATTTTAGTTCTTTCAGTTCTACAATTAATAAAGGTATTTTTT